CCTTATATATAATATTATTATATATATTAGAGTTATTATATTATTATATATAATGCTATTATATATATTAGAGTTATTATAATATTATAATAACTCTAGATAATAACCCTACTAAAACATTTCTTTTTCACCAACCTTCTGTATCGCCTGGAGAATTAACTTTGTATGAAAGTGATTATCATCAGTTTATCTGTAGAGATCCTTCCAATTATGATCATTATCATCTCAGGATGGCCTTCCAAACTGACAGTTATCTGATAATATCCCCCCTGAGATCCAGACATAAAATTTCTATCTTTTGGTCTTTCTTTGGTGAGTCTGTCCCAGAGAAGAAAAAGGAGAGGAAGAATAATTTACTGAAAGGGTTCTGTGAGGACTGTAAGAAGAGAGAACTGGAGCTTTGCACAGCAGTATGTCCTTGAGCCCTGATGTTCCAGGTTGGAATTCAATACACAGACCTTTAAACCAAGGCCAGTAATCATTCAAACATCAAAATAGCACCTGCTGTTTAATAATGGGTAGATGTGGTTCTTAACCTTTCTATTCTTTAGAAAAAAAGTAAATCTTTTCCTGGAGGAGGAACAGGATAAAGCTGACAATTTACTCTGAATAATTTTCCTTGTTAAAGATCTACACTTTTCAATTTACCTTAATCTGGGTATAACTTTCCCTATTTTGGCATTCTCCTTGGTATTGTAGAGATTATTTTTAATAATGTTGGTGATGCTTGCTTATACTCCCACTTCTATTCCTTGTTAATGTCCTTCCCTGTCATGTCTATATTTACCCGAGTGCCTCTTGATTCACGTTTATTGCTGTACCATCAATAGCTCCATTTCTTCAATATTGAGATGTCTTCACTTCTTAGCATGTGTTAAGAATAAACCACATTATTTAACTGAATTGAAACTAAGTCCAGTTTAAAATGTGTCCAATCCCTCAAGAAATGTGTTTTTTCTTGTTTGTTTATTTTTAAATATTTATTTACTTAAATTTTTTTGTTTGTTTTGCTACAAGGGCTAGAGAGAGAGAAAGAGAAAAAAAGAAAGAAGAAAAGTGAAAAATCACCCCCAGGGGGTGGCTACCCCGTAATCCCTTTTTTTCCCATTCTCCTCTATGAATTTTGGGCATGCACACACATGTGCCTAGCATGTTTCTCAAGTCACCAGATCCAAGACTTGAACCATGCAGTCTGCCATATGGGATCCAGCCACCCTAACCACCATGGCACAAGCTGACCTGAGATGTGTTTTTTTTTTTTTTTTTTGGAGAGATTTTCACTGTAGGGCGAGTGCGCTCGCCAGACAGACAGAGAGAGACATAGAGACAGAAAGCGAGAAATCACCCCCCAGGGGTGGATGGTCACGCCACAATCCCTTCTCCTCCATTCTCCTCTCGGGATCTTGGGCACGCACGCACACGCGCCCGGCGTAAGTTTTAAGCCACTGGGTCCGGGACACGAACCGCGGTCGACTACGTGGGAGTCCAGCGACATAACCATTACGCTAACTGCTGGTTCCCACCTGAGATGTGTTTTTTGAAGGAGGTTTGCTATTTCAAAGGAAAGAGCTTCTAATGGTGAACTTCTATGCAGTGTTATGTGATAAAGGTTAGAGAGCATTTTTCAACATATCTAAAATTAGACATATAGGAAACCATTTATAGCTGCTGTTAGCATGTCTCTTATCTCCACCCTGTATTCCTTTTTTTTTTTTTTTTTTTTTTTTTGGTGAACTCTCCTTTTCCTTATTTAGTTTATATTCTAACTCTTGATTCCCAAAGAGATGTCAAATGAAATGACATTCGGATGTTAATAAATGACAACTGCTTAAAATTATACAAACTCACAATACATTTAAAGGACAGAACCTGGTGACTGATTGGTCACAGTAAAGAAATAAAAAGAATCAGATCTTTTGATTCACTCTTTCGGGCTTGGAACTAATTCTTCCCTCATTTATAAACCTTCATTTTCTATTAATTTAATTACATGTAATTGAGAACTAAATTTGACCTTTAACAATTGCCTTGGAATCAACCTAATAAGATCACCCTGGGGAGTTTTTTTCTACTACTATGAGAGAGACAGGTTTGGCTCTATTGGCTTTCTGGGGATTCATTTTGGAAGAGAAAGTATGGCTTTACCAAGAATTATTAATATCAAACTATCTTCACATAAATGACATGCTTGTAGTGTTACATGACATTAACATTACAATTCTCCATTGAAGATTTTTTTGCACTGCCAGTTTTCTTTTTTCTTTTTTAAATTTTAAATTAATTTAATTTAATTTATATTTTTAGAGAGATTTTTGCTGTTAGGCATGTGCACTCACCAGAGAGACAGAAAGTGAGAAATCACCCCCAGGGGGATGGCCTTCTCTTCTCCTCCATTCTCTTTGAATTCTGGACATGCACACACACATGCCTACCATGAGGTTTAAGTCACCAGGTTCAAGATTCAAACTGCAGTCAACTACATGGGAGTCTAGTGACGTAACTGTTACACTATCTACTGGTACCCAACATTGCCAGTTTTAATCAAGCCATAATAGGAAATAAGTGAAGTCAGACGCAGATTTAATCATTTACAAAAAAATGCAAAATTCCCAAATCTATGAGGTAATTAGTTTATATAGCACATATTGGAATAGTCTTTTCTTTGTATGCCTGTATGTATGAAAAAAAAGAAAGTCCAGTCATCCGCTACAGACTTTAAGATCTAGATAGTTGAAATATTTATTACAATATTAAAACCTAATAATATTAAGTACCTACTATGTGCCAGACTCTGTACATGTAGGTTGCTATTTAATTTAATTATAGCAACTCTTTG